TTATGCCACGCCTCTTTGCATATGTTACCGTTAAAGTGTGAAATCCGTTATTTCATAGAATAACTCTTTGTATGTGTTACCGTTTAAGTGTGAAATCCGTTATTTCATAGAATAACTCTTTGTATATGTTACCGTTTAAGTGTGAATTCAGTTATTTCATAGAATAACTCTTTGTATGTGTTACCGTTTAAATGTAAAATCCGTTATTTCATAGAATAACTCTTTGTATATGTTACCGTTTAAGTGTGAAATCCAAATAACTAGTTATTCTATTAAGCTCACCTGGTGGCCGAGTGGTTAGCGTGCCTGACTGCTGAGTCGCTGGTCGCGTGTTCGAATCCTGCTCAGGGCATGGGTTTCTTTCTCTCTGTGTTTTACGTCCTTTCTCCTTTGTGTGAGATTGTGTGAATGTGATCCGCCCTATAAACGGGTTTGTGGTTGTGTGACGCGGGCGACGCTGCTCCACCGCCGTGGCTTCGCCACAGGTGCCCACTGGGTAACGAGAATAGAGTAGCAATTCTGGCATTTCTGTGGCCAATGGGGCAACCCCCAAGTGCCCGCCATTATAAAAAAAAAAGTTATTCTGTTAAAGAACTGATTATAGACCATTAAAGTGAAAATTAAACAATTTCAAAGTTATTATATGAATTAATTGATCATAAATAGCTAAAATCTCTCGAAAAACGCATTTTATCTTTCTTGCGGATGATTAATTAACAAATAATAAGCAAAAGCAAATGATATAATTCAATATAAATATATAATTTATAAATACACCGTCTAAATTCTGCATCTTAAGGGGTCACTTATAATGAAACTTCAAACTATTTCAAACGCACAGAAAAAATATCATCGCTCTGTCTACATTTTTAAAAAAGTTATGTATGATTTCAGATAGCCCTAAAACAAAAACTTGGATCAGCCACTTCACTCCAATTATTCCACTTTAAAGAGTTTTTTCTCATAGATGATAATTTTGTGTTTTAATGTTAATTAAATCCTTTAGGAATTTTTACTATTTAACATAAAGCTTTACAAGTATAATGAAGTTATACTTATAAGATAAAGTATAATACAGTTATTTCAACTGTGCATGGAATAAACATTTTATGAGGTATTATAACTTTTACGGCATGTTATATATATCTAACAGGAATTTTTAACCTTTTTTTTCGACTTTTTTGCATAAAAATCTATAAAAAATGTTCTAATCAATAAATGAATGAGCAAAATTTTTAAGATAAATATTGTAAGCACTAAGAAACGAAAATGTTTGAAAATATGTTAAAATACAAAAGCCGTAAAGATTTAAAAATTTTGAATTTTTTCAGTTTTTTTTTAAATCTTAAAAAAATTAAACAATTTAACTATTTTTTGAAGATAAATGATTGATTATAAGTTAAATGAGCATGTAAAGCATCCACAAAAGGAATGATCATACCTTTATTTGAAAAAAATGTTGCACGGGTACTGTGACCCCTTAAACTTAAAGCAACAGAATGAAGTGTACACACACGTCATTGCAAAGCAGCTAAAACCGGTTCAAAGAGCTTTTAAGTGCCGTATTTCATACTTTAACAGTCCAATAATCGTTATTCTATAGAATTCTTAGTTAAACCGTGGAATTCAATAATTTATATACTTTAACTGACTTGTCTAGTTATTTCATGAAATACCAAGCTACTCTATGCAATAACGGATTTCACATTTTAACAGTAACATATAGGGTAAACTAACCAGTGAAGGAACACTTAAGCTTCGCTAGCCATTTAAATAATCATATTAATTTCAAAATTCGTAATTTTAGTTAAATGACAGTGTCAACATAATTGTTACTAATTGCAAATTATGTAAAAAAAATTTAAAGAACTTACATAATATTGTTTTAAAGTTTTGGAGGTTCAAATAACAAGTAGTAAGAAGACCAAGTGAAGGAACAACTCTTACCAGTAATTGAGCACCCAGTAAAGGAACATTTAATTTTGGTTACTTTTTAATGCTCTTTTTGAATTTACAAGCCATACAAATATTTAAAAACAAGCCTATTCTCGAAATTATAACATATAAATACTTGGAAAATGTTAACTTTTTTTTATAATCATGAATTGAAAATTAAAGTGTCAACATATTAGCACATACTGTTCATTCACTGGGTAATCTATGCCCAGTAAAAGAACATGCTTGTTCCTTTACTGGTTAGAAATTGTTTTTCGTATTTTTAACATACTTTTGATGCGGAACATCACTAAAGGTACAAAAAAATTAAAGTTTATCTTTCATTTTCATTAACTTAGAAAAAAAAAACAGTAAAGGAACACTTGTTCCTTCACTGGTTTTTCATCGTTTGGTGATCCAGAGAATAAGTACCCCTTATCTCTGTACTTTATAATGCTATGATGCTTTTAAAAAAATAAAACGCAAAACTATATTTTGAATTCCTTTTTTCACAGTGAGAAAAATAAAACTATTACGTGCAATTAATTCCACTTCAAACATATAAATACAAACACTCACCTTATAATTTTTTCAAAGAAAGAAGGTGTTGCAGAGAAAATAACAAATTCAAAAATTTTTCCAAAGAAGTCTATTTGACCAGGTAATCCAAAACATTGCTAGTTGACTTCCTATTGTTTGGCAGTAAGTTATTGTTACCAATCAATCTGAAGAAAAACTTTTAAATTCTTATTTTTAATCAATAGATATGAAATGTTCCTTCACTGGGTAGTGTTCCTTCACTGGTTGGTTTACCCTACATTTTGTCTCATCATTTTGACTGTCAAAATTAGCTACTTTTTTTACTAACTCCCTTTATATTACTACAAGGGGTGATCAAATGAAAAGGTACGAAAATACGTAAAAACGTAACAGTTAAATATTTGCATATTCCGCTATGGGAAAACGTAGCAAGACATCTCGGGATGCGATTAGACTCTCTGACTGAGATCGGAGCATGCGCGGGTGCCCGCATGAGCAGGAAAGAGCAGAGGCTCTTATCAAAAGCGACGTCCAAATGATGCGACAGTCCGTATGAGGACAGGATGGCGTTCGCTTTGCAAAATTCGACGATTGAGGAGCAGCGAGGTGTTATCCGATTTCCTCGAGCACAGAAAAACCATCGACTCCGATGTGTACTGTGAGACACTCTGATGCCTACGCAGGTCCATCAGGAACAAAAGACCGAGGCTGCTCACGGAGGGTGTGGTTCTGCTCCATTATAACGCCCGTCCACACGTCTCCAGAGTCACACACATGGAACTGGCCAAGTCCAAGTGGGAGACGTTGGACCATCCGCTCTACAGTCCGGACATGTCACCCTGCGATTTCCATGTGTTTGGTCCACTGAAGAAACGCCTGAAAGGGAAGCTCTTCAACTCGGACGACGTACTCAAGGATGCTGTGAAGAACTGGGTCTCGTCACGGCCACAAGAATTCAGGGAACAAGGAATCCTGCGGCTTGTCCATCAGTGGGATCGTTGTGCTCAGGCCTATGGTGTATATTTTGAATAAAGTCTACATTTGTACCCACCATGTCGTTTCGTACCTTTTCATTTGATCACCCCTTGTAATAATTATGTATGAATGATCTTTTTTTCAAATATGTTATTGAAAATAAGTTTCACATGGAAAGAGTTATAGTAAAGATATTGTAAAATAAAATTCTCAATTTTTTAAAAAACATTTTAACTTGAGAAAATTATTTTAATTATTTTGTGTGCTTTTACATATAGTTTTTAACAGTATAATTTTTGTACATTATTTTTGCTTAAAATTCAACCTAATCCATTAACAATTTCTGAAAACCTTTTGATTTCCTTGTAATTTTCAATTTGTTGAGAAAAAATTTTCACGACTTTTTATACACATTTTTAATTATTATCGCTTGCTATGTACTTTAAAAGAATATGAATATTTTCTCGATTTATAAAAATATTCCTGATCATTCTTCAGAATAATTTACGAAAGTATTGCTATTTCATTTTTCAGAATAATTTATTAAATTATTTGGTCTAATCAATACTAGTCTATAGATTTGCATTAATTTAATCTAGAAATACTACATTATTAATGTTTTTTAGTGGAATAATTTATGAAATTATTCTTTGTTTATTTTCCGAATAATTTATAAAAATATGGTCTAATTCATATTGCTTTGTAAATTTACCTTAATTTTATCTAACAGTATTCCTTCTTTAACGTCATTTTGTGCGACAATTTATGAAAGAAATCAACAATTTATGAACCGTTTATTCTTCAGAATAATTTATAAGAACATTTGTTCTAATTAATATCGGTTTGTAAATTTGACCTAATTTTATTTAACACTATTCTATTATTAACGTTATTTTGTGCAAAAATTTATGAAAGTATTCCTATTTTTTGTAAAACATTATTTTAATCGAACATTTAGTTTAATTCATATTACTTTGTATAATTGACCTAATTTTATCGAACAATATATTAGCATTAACGTTATTATGTGGAATAACGCTAAAAAATATTCCTATTTATTTTGCAGAATAATTGAACAAAATATTTGTCTAATTGATATTGACATTTTAATAATATTGACATATTTTTAACCTAATTTCATCTAACAATATTATTATATTGCTAGAGGAAATTAATATCATTATTATATATATAATTAATATAGACATTATTTAACCTAATTTCCTCTAACACACTTCTATTGTTAATGTTGTTTTGTAATCATTGATATTTTATGATTAGCTGATGTTCGTTTGTAATCGTATCATGAAAAAAGATCATAATATTAAAAAAGTAAACATTTTCAGTTCCTTAAAAGAAATATTTCATTTCAAATTATTTTTTACTTGGATTTTAAAAAACGCATTCTTAATCACATTAATTATTAGAGTTATATCATTCCGTAATATATTTTCAAAGTTCAAAAAAAAAAGTATCAACTTTAAACGCAGCGCAAGAATATCAAGGACGCAATTACTTGGTCAGTCTGTTGTATAAAATTAAGATAACAAATTCAACTTTTTGTTTTCTCTCTCTGCCAGTTTAGTACTCCATTTTCTGTTACGTCATCTAACAGTGAAAAGTTTTCTTAGGTTCTAAAGGTATTTAGAAAATCGTGCTGCGAAAATAAGTTGATTTCTTAAAGAACGATTGCTGAAATTTTTAGTAGAATGGAATTTGGATGTCACAAAACAATACCAGCAAAAAAGTTTGGAAAATCGTTATCATTTGGGGCCTTATTAGGGTAAGTCATTATAATTTTTCAAAAAAAAATACATGTTATGCAATTTCGGAAAAACATTTTCTTTATTATAGTTTCATGCAAACTGACAGAAAATTAAGTGTTGAGCAGTGCATTAAGTTTGTGGGACTCTTTTAAATACTACACAGAGAAAACAAATTATGAGCCAAACTACCAGAAAATTTTAAGTTTACCGTAATTCTGGCTCCATGGAAACAATAAAAGCTCTGCAATTTTTACCGAAGCGTTTCGGCAATGATTTTGATAAAATTTACTATAAAATATGGTTTTATAATGTGTGATAAAATTTGGTAAATGAGGTAAACTTTGGTAATTTTATCATGAAACCTTAGAGAATGAGATAAAAAACCGTTTATTCGGATGAATTGCTTTTCAGTTTTGTATTTTTCACTAAATGTGTGGTAATGAAAACTATAATTTTAAAAAAACTAGATTTTCCGGTAAACCGTTACCTTATTAGTGGAAAAATTACCAAATGAATGGTTTATACACGGTATATTTTGGTTTTATTAAGCAGAATTATGTTGTGGTTTTCTTCAGAAATGTCCTTATTATATCGTACGGTAATTTAATCAGAATATTTTTCCCCGTGTAGTTTTTCCAACGTAGGTGAAATCCCCCCAGAGGGTGGTGAAAATGTTTAAGGGGTGCTAAGAAAGTTAAGGGCATTTGTTAGGGCCTGTTGTCGAACAGGGTCTTTAGCAAATTAAAGGTAAAATTAATATTAAGTGCACATTAAAATTGTTTAGTATTTTGGTTTGATGGCTTAGAATTATTTTTGTTCGCAATAGAAATCGGTATCTTTTTAAAATAATTAAATTAGTTATGTTAATAAATTGCTTTTTAAAAAAATTGAAAAAGTTTTTAAATTGCTTACTTTTTTTTTCCCTTGTAACTCGTTTTATTAAAAAAAATTCATATACTTTCAAATTACTTTATGTGTTTTTGTTTAAGAAATCAAGGGGATACTATAAAATATTACTATTTCCTTATATCATGTTGTTATCTTAATTCTCTCATTAGATTTTAAAATATGTTTTATTTAGTAATAGCTGTACTAAATATATATATTATAGCCATATTATATCCTGATTATGTACATTAACGATATCAATTATTTCATATTTTTATAACATATAAGAAAAATAACATTTAATTAAATATTTAATTTAAACTTCGAAGTGATATGAGGAATTTATTTTCATGCAAACAATTTAAAGCTTTTACATATGAGTTATTTAAATTCACATTATTATTTTAATTTAAGAAGAATAAAAAGTGTTTCTAACAATGGTCGAAAGGTATATTTCCAACATCTTTTAAACGAGACTTAAAATGAGACAAAGTCTTTTTCATTATTTACTCATTATTAATAGTATTATCGTTTTTAGTATTGAAAGTTTTTTGACTCGAAAAGTGGATCAGTTATCTAAAAAGGTTAGGAACTACTCTTTAAATATTCGCCTTTTGCGCGGCTTCTGGGAAAATGAACATTTTAGGACCACGAAATTTCCCCTATATTATTAAAATAAACATGTTTATATTGAAAAAAACTTTCGATCCGTTGTATGAATTATAATTTATTGAGTAATAACTAAACTCCAAAAACTATTCTTATAGTTAAGATATTTTTTCCTAAGATAAAGCTCTCCAAGCAGTGTTTAAAAATTAGCATGTTTTTTTTTTCCCTTTAAATTCTAAATGTAAAAAAACATAGTACTCCTTACGTATTAAATAAACTTTTGACACAGTTTTTTGTGTCTCTTTTGTTTAAATTTTTTTACATAATATTTTATAAATAGTTTATGAACGTAAAAGTTTTTTAAACAAATATTCTGCAAGGAGATTTTTTCGTTTTCAGATCATTACTTTTCATAGCCATGATGGTTATTTTTCTACATACCCAAAGAACACCGGATAGACAATTATTAGTCATCGAAAAATCAATAGGTAATGAATGTTCAATTTGTTACCAATAAACAATGATTTTGTTATGAATTTGAAGTTAATGATTATTATTATTCGGTAATAGATAAATATCTTCTTATAATTCGGGGAAAAAATTGTAGCTTCTTACTCAAAGGCAATACACTGTTCAAAGTTTCTCGGAAAAAAATAGTTAAGTAGCAATTTGCTTAATTTTGTTTTTTATAACCATATTGAACAAAAATAGTCAAATAACTATAAAGAAGATGGTATTCAAACTGTCAACTGTGAGAAAAATTATTTATTAGCTGTTTTCACTTAATATGCGGTTAAGCAACTAGAATTTTATCCGCGAATTTAATACACTTTATGAAACCACTTAGTTCCTTGCAGCTAGGTACATACTTAAGTCGAGAAGCCTGATCTGTCAAACTCATGACCGAATAAACAGGGGTTCGAATCCCAGAGGTAGCACTACAATATTTCCTCTATTTCTTCAGAACATGAGGAACGTTGCATTGCTGGCATCACAAAACTAAAACTGATTTTAAATAATTTAATTTCAGACTTCATATATATATATATATATATAACAAAATTACTCTTTTACCTACTTTGTAAAACATTAAAGTATAAAAAAAGTTTGTTCAACTAGAGAAACTTTAAAGTTTCATAGCAACTTAAACTTCTAAAGAAACATTTGGGGAAATGTTTAGTCAAAAAATAAAAATAAAAAATAGAGGAATAAGTTTATTCTCATTGTTTTGAGGATACAGACAGAAACTCATACTTGGATATTACTAAGTTTAGATGCAAGGAAAATTATTTACATTAAAATTTAAAAAATACAACACATATCAGAATTGTACTTTTCTTGTACTTTGAGAATATGATACTGCTTCGTAAAAGGGAGACAAACAGCAGTGAGCTTATTCGGGACCACAAAGACAACCCTTCACCTCAACGGTCAGTATAATTAATGTCAAGAGCAAAGGCACTTGACCTTAAAAAAGAATCAGCCTTGCGTATACTGGACCAATGTATACTGGCAGTGGCATTTTACCTTTAAAAAAAATATTAGTTTTTTTAGTATACTGTTCAACAGCCCTCACATCCCTTGATTTTATAATCGTCGTTAAACATTTAGGGCTTACGGCTACTAATCTTCAACTCCATAGCCTTGTAATTTTGAACTTAATCCAGAAGACAAGGGAACTCCTGGATCAAGTATTGGGAGAAATCTGCCGTCATGGAGGACTTTTCGANTATATATATATATATATATATATGATGAAGAATGAAATGAAATTAGTTAAAATAAGTTTTAGTTTTGTGATCCAGTCCTAAAAATCCCAGTCCTAGAAGTCGTTTAAAGAAATTTTTCTTTTGTATCCTTTAAAAAAAGGTGCTTGAAAATTCATTTTAAAAAATGATTTAACAGTAGCCAATGTTTCATATTAAACTATAAATGATTCCGATTTTTTCAGTCCTACAGTGGACTGATCATGAAGACACGGCTCCCAGTAGAACACTGAAGTCAAGCATCACTGGCTGCGATCAGTAGGCGGGTGGGTGACCACTTTGATCATCTAGTAGGGATCAAGGGTGCGCGGTATCGGTCCTCGTTAAACTGTTCTACCATAAAGTGCTGAACTCCACACGCAGGTGGTAGGGCTACCAAAGCAGGGGAGCCATCCCCTCTGCTAAAGATCGAAATTTCGATGTCATGTCTTCGGATCATCCTTTGGGATGTTTCCCAGACCGTCGCCGAAAAACAGTAGTGCAATTCTAGTGTGACGTAAATAAAGTATCTACCTACCTGATTTTTACAAATATAATAGGTAACTTCAGTTATATTTGCTTGCTTGTCACTATTTACAGTGCAGCAACCGTAAGAAGGCGATTGAAGGCCGAATCATGATACGAGTCTATAAATTAAAGCAGGATTAAGTTGTCACGCATTAAAGGAAGATTTGGGAAGACGGGGAAAAGCAAGAACGACAATTTAGCATCATAACTTCCCCTCGTTGAAATGAACTCTCTGAAGATCAATCATCTTCTTACGGTGAATGAACTATATCTATTTACGTATTAAATTTGTTTTTTGTAATAAATACTAAATGTTTCCTTTTAGTAATTGCAAGTGAGCCACTACAAGTTATACAAAGTCCGCTTTCAACATTTTTGTCAAGAACGTTCATCCCGGAGAGAGGAAATAGTTCTGAGACTGATACTTTCTATATAGAGGACGATACTGAATCAGAAAGGGTAAAAGATAACTCAACTGATATTTCAGCCAATCAACTTCAACCTATAAATGATGAAAATGCAACTGATTCTAAAGCAACCTCGAAAAAACGAAGTTTCAAAGCAAAAGTGACTCTCAGCAAATGGCATCAAGATGTACTACGAAATTTAGTAAAAGGTAAAATAAAAGTGAATGTTTGTAGTATTTAACTTATTTAAATAAAGTTTAAAAACTAAACTCAGCGACAGGATAGCCCATAGAGGGCCAAGGCCTACTGTGCCCATCTCAGTTTTCTTGACCTTGGGCTCTGGGGTGCAGGAGTAGATGTTCCGGTCAGGTGGTCAGCCAAACGCGGAACCCCCAGTGTTTAGTTCCCAAGCATGCTTGGTACTCATTTATCGACCCACTGAAGGGATGAAAGGCTGAGTCAACCTTGTTCGGCCCGAGGATTCAAATAAAGTTTAATAAATCAAAATATCCTAATAATTTTGATAGTTTTAAAGAAAACATTGCACACTGTAAAAACATTTCAGTACATTCGCCCCCTTTTACTGTTACGGTAAAAAAAATTACTGTGCATGTAGTCATATTTTTTATTTACTTTTTTGCTGATATAGTTTTATTTATTTGCTTATTCATTCTCCGAATAAATATACCTTTCTTAATGGAAACGGATTTCTGACCCTGAAAATATTGGGAGTAATCGCAATCTAGGAAATATAGTCCCAATATAGAGCTATCTATAGTTTTTACCCCTTATTGTTAATTTTACTTTTTGCATATTTCATCACGCTTCCAGAAAGTTTTGAGCAAATTGTAAAATTTTCGCACACAATTATAAAATTCGCTTATGCAAAGATAATTCCATGCAAAATATAACTTTAGGTATATATTTATTTTTATTACTTTATTTAATAATAGTCGAAAAACTTTTGAAATGTAATGTAAACAGTTTTTTACATCATTTTAAAGAATGCAATTTTAAATGGCATAATACATGAGCGAAATCGGAAGAATTGTTTCTGAAAAATCACATTTTGAAAAAGACGTATTTCAATTTTTCAGGAACTATTCGACCGAGTTTGCTCAAATTTTGTATTTTGTCAAGTAAAAACACATTCTTTGAAATGATGTAAAAAATTGCATACCTTACTATTCAAAAAAAGTTTCGATTATTATTAAATAAAATAATAACAAAAACTCACTAAAATTTGTTTGAGGAGAATTTTCTTTGGCTAAACGAATTTTATAATTGTATGCAAAGAAAATTTCAATTTACTTAAAAATTTCCGGAGATATGGTGAAATATGCAAAAAATAAGACTCACATTAAGGGGTCCAAACTTTGAAAAACTCTACTGCCTGAATTTTTGGGATCATATCTACCAGATTACGGCTACCCCCTATATTTTGGGTTCAGGAATCTGTATCCCTTGAAAAAAAGGTATATTTATTCAGGGAAAATAAGTTCTTGTGTCTGATTTTATTAACTTAATATCTTCTGCACTAATTAATTAGTATATTTGTGACCACCCACTCGAGCCATAAAGGTTGAGTCCTAGAAAGTGAAGATCCAATCATTAGACGCAATGAGTTTTGCGTTTAAGAACAGCGTTTAAATAATAGTCTAAGAGTATTTAGATATATTTTATTTTCCATTTCATTATTTTGATTTATATGAAGTTTTTTGTGAGGCTTCTCTAGACCCTTCAGCTATTAATTTGGAGATTACCTCCTTTCCTATTTCATCTGTGTGATTATACAGTAAGCTATATTTCTGAACTTTCAAAACTAAAAAGATATTATAAATTTTAAAATAGGTTAGGAGACTCCACCAGCCAAACCCCATTATTGGGTCGCATTCAGTTATGCTACCCCCCCCCCCTTAAACATCACTATTTTCCACAAACACACAGAATATTTTATTTTCAAATAATACAAATATAGATGTACATTAGTAAGAATATTTTGTTAACATCTTAATTATAATGAAATGGAAGATTACCAATTTTTCCTACAAGCTTTACAGTTAGTAATTCTCGAACAAATTATTCAGTGTGCTCCCTGTACTAGGTGTGCTCCCTGTACTTTTTACATATCTGTGTAATTTCAAGTTTCAAAGTTTTATAGTTTTTTGTACAACAAACTAAAATGTAACTTAAAGCTGATTACCCGAAACAGCCTTTGCATTTTTTTTAACATGAAGAGAAATTTTTATTATCATTAAAATATGTTACGAATAACACCGGCGCAGTGTCCCCTACAGTTCTAGGAATGCGAAGCCCTCGAGCGTTTGTCTCTCCTGCACAATGGGTATGATATTTGATTTTATAACCGTCGTTGAACAGCTGAACCACTTTTTGAATTTACGACTAAAAATGTTCAACTCCATAGCCTTGCTATTTTGAACCCATTCCAGAAGACAAAAGAAATCCTGGATCGAGTATTGGGAGAAATTTGCCTTTGAGGAAGAATTTTTTTATTGAATTAACCCGCATTTGCGTAACATGGAGAAGAAAACCATGAAAACCATCCACAGTTAGCCTGACGGCAAGGGAACTCTAACCCATGATCCGTTTACCACAGAGGATGTTTTATGTCAGCACTTTGGTCGGTGCGAGTAACGTGTGGAATTCGTTTCGACTAGTCATCGCTGGTATTCGAACCCTGGTGACCTCATTTAAAGGCAAATGCTCTATTTCCTGAGCCACCACGGCTCCGATGGCTATGATTAAAAATGTTTCATATGCATTTTTGATGTTTCTGTAAAGAAATGTTATGCTTTATAGCAGCAGTTCCCAACTAGTGTTCCGTGGAACCCTAGGATTCCACGGAAGATTTAAAGTGGTTCCGCGAGTTAGTACTCTTTTTTTAACCAGTGAGAGATTTTGAAACCTCCGAATATATTTAGATCCAACTTATAATTCATAACTTATTTATTCTTAAGTCTGCCTTTGAGAAATTAAGTAAAAGACCTATTAAATAGAAATGGCATTTTTCAAAAGGAACTATAATATTTCTAGTAAAAATATATTGAACAAATAATAAAAAGAGCAAGCATATATAAAAAATTTTAACTGTGTTGTTTATTAAAATAAAAATAACTTATTTTCTTAAAAAAGAAATATATTTTCCTAAAAACTATTTTCAACATTTATAGCAGTTCTTTTAAGTTCTCAATTCGAAGTAAACCATAATTCGGATTATTTATTCATCTTCAGTTTATGTATATACACCAAAAACCAATTCATAACTAGACTAGATATAGCACAAGGACTACGAATTTAACAGTAGGGCATAAAACCTAAATTGAAATTATTAGGGATAAGACAACGAAAAGTCTGCAGCATTCTTCTACTTAAATATTAGGGGGACCGGAAAGTAATGCCGTTTCGGTGCATTTGATATTCGTTATCAAGATTTTATTTTTAATCAAAAGTGTATTCACCCTCGTTAGCAGCAACCTTTCAATGACGGATCAAAAAAATGAATGGGTTTTTAAAACTAACGAATATTTAATGCTCCGAAACGACATTACTTTCCTATTCCTCTAATATTTTAAAAATAGTCTTCTATAAGTTATAACGTTGACAATAACAACAATAAACTTTAGTCGGGTTTCGTCAAAAGAAGGTTGATTATTTAGTGTTCCGTATTCGTGGGAACCGCTGCTTTAGACATAAGTTAAATTGTAAGATTTTAATCGTGTTAATGTTGGTGTTTCATAACCATTTTTTCTTTATATTTTTCAGAAAAACTGATGAAGTCTTCCCGGAAAAAGAATGATACAATGAGAACAATTCAGTGAAATCCAAAATAGTTCCTTATCATTGTCTGTATACAAAATGAAAACTTTTAAAAAAACATTGTCTTTTGAAAGTTCTAAAAGAAAATCAATCAAAGTGAAATAAAAATTGAACAAACTGTACATTATAATCTGTACATCAAAGTTGTGATACTAAGCAGAAGTTAATCGAGACATTTATTTACTTGAAAATTTGCAATTGAAATATTGTGAGTTGTGCCGTCAAACAGACATTAAAAAGGATATTTATCAATATTTCAATTGCAAAATTGCAGTTGAAATATAAATAGATTGTTGTATAGGGACGTAAATTGTTGTATGGATCGCTGCATATTAATGTATAATAACATAATATTGTATGCCAACTTGACATGTGATTGTTGTATAATAACTAACATGACGCTATGGATTATTGTATAAAAACATGACTTGTAAAAAATAATTATTTGAAAGATATGTTCAGTGACACCGGGATAGCCTGGTTGACAGGGCGCTGGACTCACGTTCGTGAGAACTGGTGTTCGAAGCCAGGCTGCCGAACTATCCTCGTGTAGTATAATATGAGAAGTGCGCGTTAAATCTGTCGGGTTGCAAAGTCCTCCATGTTTCCATAACAAATTATACCTATGGGGAACTGAATTGGAGAGTAATCGTTCTCTGGTTTAGATAAAAATCATGATCTTTGGATAAATGAATGGGTCCGTCCTGTAAATGGGTGGGCAAGAAGTCGAATTCTTGGCTATAGATGGCGCCACTGGAAAACAAGAACAACCGTACCCCTTGTCTTAATGGCCAACGACAACAACAACATAAGTCCGAGTTTATTCTGGACTAGCTGAATACTCGTTTTTCGTACGGGAGAAAAAAGTAAATGATCAATAAATTAGTAATAATCAACACTAAGAAATCATGGACAAAACTGAACGACATATACCGTCTCATTTAATTAAGCTAAAACAATTCCCTTTTTTTTAATTGTATTATTTGTTACCCTTTCCGATGGCTTTATGTTATCAGATTAAATAAAATATGTTTTTAGAAGTTCATCCAGGCAAAATAAAGATTAATCAAGTTCAGTATTATTTGGAATAATACAGTTGAGATTATTGTTGAGATTAACTCCTGATAGTCAAAAACTACCACAAACAACAATTTTTTTCAGGTATAATTTTTTCAGTAAGGTTCCTTACTTATGCCCTTCCCATTAACTTTATGTCATCAGACTAAGCGAATCAAGCCTTTAGAAGTAAGTTCATCCCTTCAAAATAAAGATAGTTATATTTAGAGTTATTTGGCATAATTCAAGCCAACTCCTGATTGATAAAATTACCATAATTCTTTTATTTCAAAGAATGTAAGGTTTTTTAACGGAAAGGTATAGAAGATTAGCACATTTCATAAAAGAAATGTGAAGAAAATATGTAGATTTTATAAAGGAAAATTTTAAAGTGTGACATGAAGAATAATTAATAAGTTATTAAAAATTAATACAATTTTAACATTCATGTGATTTTATTAACGTTTCGCTAAATTACAGAGTTCAAATTAAAATTTTAATTTTCTTACAGAGAGTGTTAAGGTTTTACATAAATTTTGATAAGCAAGTTGTTGTTGTTGTTGTTGATTTACGTCGCACTAGAGCTGCACAATGGGCTATTGGCGACGGTCCGGGAAACATCCCGGAGGATGATCCGAAGACATGCCATCACAATTTTGATCCTCTGCAGAGGGGATGGCACCCCCGCTTCGATAGCCCAACGACCTGCACGCGAAGTCGAGCACTTTACGGTAGCACAGTTTAACGAGGACCAATACCGCACACCCTCGGCCCCTACGCAGACTGATCCAAGTGGGTCACCCAGCCGCACACTGACCGCAGCCACTTATGCTTGACTTCTGTGATCTGATGAGAACCGTGTCTTAACGATCAGTCCACTGCGGGACTTTGATAAGCAAGAAACTTTAACCAAGTTACGTTTCATTTAGTTCATAAAGTGCACGTAACTGGTCACAATCAGCTAATTATGGCTGAGAATAAGATTGAGCTTCTAAAACTATTCAAACTGTTTCGTCATTATAGGTTCAGGTAAAATTTGATATTTCAAGTGTTAGAAAACGTAAAAGAAATGAGCAATCGAAAATTTAAATCAAATGTAAACCGGTATAAAGACCACTCACTTAGCTTACGGGGCCTCCCTAACCGAATGGTGCAGCCCGCCAAACATTCTGCAGCTTGGAGGTAGCGGGCTCGAAACCCACCCTTACCAGGGTATGCATCTTCGCACTGTCCCGCAGTGGACTGATCGTTAAGGCACGGTTCCCAGCAGATCACCGAAGTCAAGCTTCACTGGCTGCTGTCAGTGTGTGACCATTTCGATCAGTCTGCGTAGAGGCCGAGGGTGTGCGGTATGGGTCCTCGTTAAACTGTTCTACCGTAAAGTGCTCGACTTCGAGTGCAGGTCGTTGGGCAACCAAAGCAGGGGGGCCATCCCCTCTGCAGAGGATCAAAATTGGGATGGCTTGTCTTCGGATCATCCTCAGGGATGTTTCCCAGACCGTCGCCAATAGTTCATTGTGCAGCTCTAGTGCGACGTAAAGTAACAACAACAACAGCAGCTCTAGTGCAACGTTAATGAACTACAACAACAACTTCTCCTTGACAAAAGCTTATAAGGCTCATTTATGTAAATGAGCGCACAAACTTGTATGCATGCTTGTACAGATAAATGAATATATGAGCCTCCCGGAACGAGCGTTATCGCTCGCCAAACGCTGTGTAAAGTGTGAAGGTGGCGGATTCGAATCCCACCGAACTCTGAATGTATTCTTCTTGATGTCCTTCTCTGAATTGTTCTATCTGTCATTCGACTTGACAAAGGTTTATAAGCCTAAATTGAGCACACAAGCCTGCAATTGTATATAATTTCAATAAAGCAATAAATAAATGTAGTTTGAAGCGACTATGAAAGTTAACGTTTTAAGTAAGTATTTTTATGTTATTTTTTATGATAACTATTCTAAGACTTGTTGATTTTTAACGTTTTAATCATTAAATCTTTTTATTAAGTCGTAAATGCTCGATAATTCGTACCCCCATAATATTAAAAAATGGCTACAGTAAAGATAGTTCCACATTATTTTCAATTTTTCGTAAATTTTTAATATACGGGCATTATTATTTTAAAAAAAATCGAAAATACAAGCTAACTACGGTATTATTATGCTCCAAATTTTATTAAGAAAAATAATTTTTTCTCGGTATCTAGCACATCGCCAAATAATTAACGTAATTAAGACATACTATTTTCTTACGTATGTACCTACGGAATTCCGTGTTTTCGGGATTTTTTTTTTTTCTTTTAGCAGGATTTTCATTATAAACTTTACAATTCTGAAATTGCCTAAATTTATAATGATGAACTGGGGATCATTAACACATTGTTCACATCGATTATAATATCTTATCTATTCTATCCGATATGACGTCGCCAATAGCCCATTGTGCAGCTCTAGTACGACGTAAATTAACAACAACAACAACTATCCGATATGATGTTCCTGAATTTTAATGACTTTTGAAAAATAATATCTGCAGTAAAATAAAATAAAAAATTAAAGATTATAATGGTGAATCGAGAATTATATAGTTATTTACTATTTTTAGAAGTTGAAATCAAATGTAAAAATGTTTAAAAAATTTGATTCGCTCTCTTTATGAAATTTATTTAAAATGATTTTTATTGAATTAACGTACACAGAAATTTTAAAAAATGCTAAATGAAAGAATCGTTCACAAATTTATTTTTTTCAAATAAATATTTTTCTTTATATTCAAAACTATTGTACTTTTAAAAATATTTTTAATATTTGCTAGTTATAGAAGATGAAATCAAATCTTTATGATGGACATTTCAAGTTGCTTCAAAAAATTGAATTCCCTTTATTCAGTTTATTTAAAATTATTTTTATTTACACTCACAACTAGTGAATCACTTTTAAAGGTATTAAACCAAATTCCAATTATTAAATCTTAGGATTTGTTCCTGGTAAGAAATTTTTCGAATTAGTATTTTATTAAATAACTGTATTTAATAATTAATAACATTCTTACAGGGTAAATTTTCTTCCTTTGCAATTAAAAACTTTATCAAAAGCTATATTTTAGTTACCTGAATTTTATTGCTTTCCAAAATAAGGAAAACTATATTTTTACATTTCTATTGTTCTTATAAAGAATCGTTATACTAAGGACAGTAATTTTAGTTTACGTTCTCAAACTACTTCTAACTTTACTCCCCATTCATCTGTAAAACCTATGAAAAATGATTACATTTTTTAATCGGAATCAGATTTTAAAAATTTTTAGGTTTTTTATTTCATAACCGGTGTTGAATAGCAAGCCTTTTTATATGGTTTACGACTATAAATATGACACACCATAACCATGTGATTTTGAACCCTATTCAGAAGACAAAGGTACTCCATCATCCACATTGGAGCAAACCAGCCACCGTGGACGACTTTTTGCTGGAACTAATCAGCATTTGCGTCACATGGAGAAGAAAACCACAAAAACCTCCCATGGTTAGCCCTACGGCAACGGGATTCTAAATCATGATCCGGCTTTTACTATATGTATTTTACGTCAGCATTGTGATCGGTGCTAGCGGAATTCCTATCGATCAGCCATCGGTGCGACTGGAACCTGGCTCACTCAATACCTTCTAGAAGAGAGAAGGCTTCAGCACGGGTTACCATAAACGAGAAATTTGATCCTTTAGTAGTCCAAACGCAATGACATCGTTCGTATTTAAGACCAAAGCGCTCTTTAGTAACCCGAATGTAGTGACATCTCTCTTATTTTTCATCCACTGCGCAGTTTATGTTCGTTACATCGGATTACTAAATTGCTCCGTGCTGAGGCCTTCTTTCTTTTAGGAGGTTTTTGTTCACCTCATTAGAAGGTCTTTTGAGCTACTGCAACTAAAATTGTGATTATTAATTTATATTTGATAATTATTTTTAAAAAAAGTAAAAGTGTTATATTCTAATTAATTTTTTTCAACATTAATAATTTTAATTATCAAAATTCATCAATTTTAGCGAGAAAAAAAGTGGTGCAAATAGGCTGTCGTTAGCTTGTTAGTAATAAATGGTTTAGCAGTGTTCCCTAAGCATTTTAAAAACTTATTGTAATATCTAATTATTAATGACATATTTTGTCTTGATTAAATTACTTCTTGTCCGAAATTTGTGAATTGTAAAGTAGCTTAAAACGTTGTTTATTGTATATAGTTATTAATAACTAACATTAATTTAACAGAAATTAGATAATAAGATAAATGTGTTTTTAATTAATGTAAAG